AAATCCATGACGGTACAGCTAGACAAGGAACTACGTGATGACCGAGAAAAATCATGGTGCAGAGGAGCATTGTGATGGAGAAATCCATCTTCATGGCACACAGTATGAAAAGGGCCAAAAGACAGCATAATTCTAAGTGATAATAGTCATTTCTGTGCTGTGCTTGGCTATGATTTTTTTATTTGTTGTATCAGTCCACCTATATTCCTCTTCTAATTAAAAACAATATATATCAAGGCTTTTTTTTTTTTTAAAGCAAGGTGATAAGGCAAGTATTGCTGTTGTTAATAAACGTCAGTTCAAGTTGCTTCTCAAAGTGAGAAATCATTTTAGTAACAAAGATCACAACAGTTCGGCATTATCAAGGCCATAGCTTAATGTAGCATCCACATCCCTGGGTCTAGAGTCTGCACACCTGGACTGAAAGCGTCTCTTTTAAGCTTCGTTGCCAGAGGCATTTCCAGAAGGAATCCTGTTAAATGAAAAATAAGACTTTTCATGAGGGATGCTGAGACATTTCTGTTGCCACTTCAAACACTCTCCGACTTAATCTCCAGAGCATAGCTTTCTCAGATAAATTGTCCAGCACACATCTAGTGCTGGGCTTGTTTTTAAAGTCGGCTGATTCTTTCAGGAGGTCCTCTTTTAAGCTTAAATATCCCTTTTGCTTCGGTAGTCTATTTTCTCCCTTTTGAAAAAGAGCATACCAAGAGTTAAGTCACTTTTAGCAAATTCATCCTACATCTGGAGTAAATTCCAGAGTGTTAATGTCATGGTGCATTACAGCAGGGACTGTCAAGTCCAATTTTTGCAGGCCTGCTAAATCAGAAAGGACAGGCTGGACAGCCAGCAGCCCTGACGCGGGAGCTGAGGTGTGTTTGCTAAAGTGATTCTTCACATCAGAGAGCAAGAGGTAAAAAAGCCTGCAGTGCAGTCCTACCTGTGGAGCTTGGTGCCACGAGGAAATAGCTTCCTCACCTGGACTGTAGACTCTCAGAGTTCGAGTTGTAAGAGGCTGGAGATCTTGAATCCTGCTGCTTCTCCCGTACTTAGACCTTTTCTACATTATTCTACACAAATAGTATCCAGTCACCATCGAACTACTTCATGGTGTTTGTTGACATCAAGTCCATTCCAACGCACAATCACCCTGTGTCCACCAGAATGAAACGCGGCCCTGTCAGGTAGCATCCTGGTAATTGTTCTCAGTTTGCGTCCATTGTAGGCAGCCACTGGACCAACTCATTGAAAGTCTTCCTCTTTTATGTTCACCCTCTACTCTACCAAGCATGATGTCCTACCCAAGAACCAGTCCCTTCTGAAAACAGGCCCGAAGTACCTGAGACTAAGAGTACTTTGAATATTCTTCACGGGCACTATAATTCAAACGCATCCATTCTTCTGCAGTCTTTCCTCTCCATTGTGTTTTCTGATTCATTCATGTATGTGTTCACATGCAGATGAGGTGATTGAAAATACCATGACTTGGGTATGTCTGCAAAGTGGCATCCTAGCATTTCAACACTTTAAATTGATCCTGTGCCGCATAGCTGCCCATTGTGATTGATCAGTTAATTGCATGACTGTTGCTTCCATGAGCATTTACTGTGAATCCAAGTAAAATAAAATTCCTGACAACTTCATTCATTTATCAAGATTCTGTCTATAGGTCCTTTGGTGAGGTTTGTTATTTATTTTTTGAGTTGTAATCCATACTGAAGACCGTATTCGTTGATCTTCTCCGGTAAATGCTTCAGATCCTCTTGGCTTTCAGACAGCAAGCTCGCATCATCTGTATATTACAAAAAACAAAAACCAAGCCCACTGCCTTCGAGTCATTGTCGACTCATAGTGACCCTGGGTAGAACTATTACTGTGAGTTTCCAAGACTAAGCCTTTATTGGAGTAGAAAGCCTATATAGTTCCATGGGATCCACTGTGGTTTCAAACGACTGACCTTGCAGTCAGCAGCCCCATGTGCATAATCGCTACGCCACGAGGGCTCTCTTCTGCATATCGTTAGTGAACCTTTCTCCAACCTGTACAACGCGTTCTCTTTCATATAGTCCAGCTTCTTGGATTGTTTGTTTAGCATATGGATTGAATACTCCGTGTGGTGAAAGTATACATCTCTGATGCACATATTTCCTGATTTTACACCATTCTATATCCCTTTGCTCTATTCGAATGACTGCCTCTTTCTTGTTCTGTGTACATTTTCCAAATGAGCACAATGGAGTCTTGTGGAATTCCCATTCTTCTTAATGCTATCCTTAGTTTGTTAAGACCCACACAGTCGAATCCCTTTGCATAGACAATAAAACACAAGTAAGCATCATTTTTGAGATTCTTGGCTTTCAACCAAGCTCCATCTGACTTAAGCAATGATTTCCCTGTGTCAGTGTGTCCAATCTGTTGTTGGGATGGTCTGTTAATTCAAGTGGGATATATTCAAGGTCATATTTTGGCTCTCATGGACTTGTTTTGATTTGTTTCCTCTTAATCTATACATAAACCAAATAGTTCTAGTCTCAGGAATGGACTTACTAGAACTATTTGGTCTGCTGAAAAGTTTCTGAAACTATCTTAGAGGGGAAGCAGACAAATATCATTACTGTGATGTTAGTAATAGATATATTTGTTGAGAGTTTTCTCATGATGTGAGTTTTGACAGATTTTTACTGTTTGAGGTGATCCTACAGTTTTTCTCTTTGTTGTCTTAATGTCGTACATTAACTGATTCCTTAAATATTAAACCAAATTGCATTCCTGGGCTAAGCTCTACTTGGCCATGATGTAATAACTGTTATGTTGCTGGATTCCATTTAATAATATACAGGCTTGAGGCTACATTCATAAGTGATATTGTTTATCATTTCTAATTGATAAACAGTTGATTTTTCCTAGCTTCTGACTATTACAGATAAAACTGCTCTAAAGATCTCCTGACAAGTCTTTGTATGGACATACGCTTTTATTTCCCTCGAGTAGCCTTGCAAAGGAACGACTGGTTCCTATGACATGCATGTACTTATCAGGGTAAGATAGTTCTTGTGGTGAAGTATCTGTTAAAAATCTTTTGTCTGTTTTAATTGGGTTTTTGTTTTCTTTAAGTTTTAAGAGTTCTTTGTATATTCTGGGCATAGTCCTTTATCAAATAAGTGCAGTACAAATTGTGTTTCTTTAAGATATCTAGGAGTCGGCAGATGATCTATTTCTTCTTGAATAAATTATGGTGGTCACTATCTTTGAAGGATTTAATTTCTTCCAAGTTGTCAAATTTTTACTTATGAAATTGTCCATAATATTCCTTTATATGTGGTGTTTGTATATTCTTATCGCTCTAGAACCTATACTGATATCCTCCCTCTTGTTTTGATTTTGTTTCTCTTTTTCCTAATAAGTCTATCAGATTTATCAGTTCTAATCCTCTTAAAGAATTAGATTTTGGGTTCATTGATTTTCTCTATTGCTTTTCTATTTAATTAATTTTCACCATGACCTTTATTATTTCTTTTCTTCTGCTTAGTTTGGCTTCCTTCCCTTCCCTTTTCCTAGTTTCTTGGAGACACGTCTTCGTGTCTCGTGTAGGGCACTCGGACTATAGATGCTCCCTTTGTGTCTGCTTTGGCAGCATCACACAGATTTGCTATTTGCATTTTTATGTACAGCAAGAGACATTTTAATTTCCTTTTGATTTCTTCTTTAATCCATAAGCTATTTAGAAGTATGCTACTTTAATTCCTAACTGCTTCAAAGGGTTTTTTGTTTGTTTTGTTTTGTAATCATTGGGGGCTCAGACAACTCGTATCACAATCCATACATGCATCCATTGTGTCAAGCACATTTATACATTTGTTGCCCTCATCATTCTCAGAACATTTGCTTTCTACTTGAGCTGATGCTCCTCATTTCCCCCCCTCCCTCATGACCCCTTGATAAATTATAAATTATTATTATTTTGTCATATCTTACACTGTCCAACAGCTTCAGAGTTTTAACACAGATATTTCTGTTTCTGATTTCTAAATTTTTCTGTTATGGTTTGAAAACATACATTGTATGACTTGAATAGTTTTATAATTATTGAGATTTATTTTATTGCCAGAAAATTATGTGTCTTGGTAAATGGTCCATGTAGACTTTAAATATATATACATATTCTGCTTTTGTTCTATAAATGTCTGTTTGATCAAGTTAGATGAGTGTATCGGTCACGTTTTCTAAACATTTCTACTTCTCTGAATACTTGTTTCCCTCATTTATACAGAGAAATATCGGGAAATTTCTGACCATGAAATCTATTACTCCTTGTGGTTCTACCAGTTTCTGAAGCTATTAGATGCTTAGATATTTAAGGGTCTTATATCTTCTTGATGTACTATTATTATGAAATGACTTTCTTGATCACTGAAAATATTTTTTGAAATTAATGACACCATGGCACATCTTTACCATCCCCTGCTGTTAAGGGACCTGAGCCTTTACATTTTCAGCGTGCTCCTTGAAGGCAGTGTGGAGTTGGGTCTTGTTCTTTTTTCTCTACTTTTTTCCCTTCAGATATTTGAAAATAGTTCTCCTATCATCAGCCTTTGATTTTGGTTTGACTGATAACTGTTTCTAAATCCTTCACCATTGTGATGAGGCTTTGCCTTGCTTAAAAGAGAGAGCACAGTAGACACTTTTGAGTTACCCTGTGCAAGGGCCTGTTGCTTATTGCACTGTTACCAAAGACCTGTATCTGTTTCGTTCCTGTTCGTTTAGCTGAGACTGTTCTGAACCATCGGTTCCACTTTTCTACCCTAATTGCATTTTTAACTTGACTAACTTTTGACTTTTTGATCTCCAGAAAAATGTTGAGGGGACTTAACACAAATCTATTCTTCCTCTGAAAATGTCTCTTTTATCTCAGGTACATCCATTTTAGCTACATTATCTTAAGTGTGGGTCAAATAAAGCTAGGCTTCCAACGTGTATTAAAACGTTTGCCTTTTTTCCAGGTAAAAATGTCTCCATCCTACCAGCCATCCAAAGGGGAACCTGTCGCCAAGGTCAGTGAGCTTTAAAGGCACAAAACCAATTCTCCTCTCCGGAGCAACTTTCTTACAACGAGAATGCGTTTTAATCGTCTTAATGCCATCAGAGTTCTTTCTAGTTACATGCCTTCATAGCACGTCTCTAGGACTCATAGACTCTCCCCGAGAAGCGAGTGGGGATCTGGGCCCAGCACGAAGCCAGAGCCCGTGAGGGCGCAGGGTGCTGTGTCTACGGATGTGCTTACAAGAGGCCCTTTGTGCGTTCTGTTTTGTTTTGATCTCTTGACAAACTATAGGATGGATGGATTATACACAATTGATATATTTATTTGCATAGTACTGGTGATGCTTTCTTTTTTCAGTGTATTTTTTATCGTGTGTGTGTGTGTGTGTGTGTGTGTGTGTGTGTGTGTGTGTGTGTGTGTGTGTATAACCACCCCATCTCCACCTCCCTTGAGCCCCACCAGGTTGCAGGGAAGGACCAGGGTAACTGAATGCTTGGCAGAAAAACTTGGTGTCGCCTGTAACCTACTTAAGTCAGCGCAGCTAGGGGAAACCTCCCCAGGGCAATCTAAAGCGTTTCTGAACCCCACGCCCATCTCCGAACACACAGGGCTTTATACCCTTTATTCAAAAATGCCAGGCTGCAGCGGAGCCATCTGTCGGTTTGTCATGCTGTGATGGCTTGTGTGTGCTGTTGCTAGAAGCTAGGCCACTGGTCTTTCAAGTACCACTTGAAGCGGGGCCACTCATGGTGGACAGTTTTCAGTAGAACTTCCAGTCTAAGACAAACGAGGAAGAAGGACCCGACAATATACTTCTTTAAAAAAAACAAGCCACTGAAAACCTATGCATAGCAGCTGAGTGTTTTCTGATCTAATGTTGGGAGAGGAGCCTCTCCGGTTGAGGACACACACAGTACAGCTGGGGAAGAGCTCACTCCCCAGAGTAGAGTCAACCTTAATGATGGAGGTAGAACAAAGCTTCGGGCCTCCTTCATTTACTGGTGTGATTCAAAATGAGAAGACACAGCCGCAAACATCCATTAACCTGCATGAATGGAGTATGAATCAAGGAAAGTTAGAAGATGCCAAAAATGAATGTGAATGATGTAAGATCAGTATCATTGGCATTAGTGAGCTGAAATGAGCAGGTATTGGCCATTTTGAATTAGATCATCATGTAGAATAACAGATTCTTTGTCCAAAAAGAACACTGAAAGATCTGCCTGGAAGTGCAACCCTGTCAGTCATCCCATAGTACCCTATCCTACTGGGACGACCACTTAATTTTGCAATTACTCAAATTTATACGCTAACCAGCAATGCCAAACATGAAGAAACCGAAGATTTCTACCAAGTTCTGTAGCCTGGAGCTGATCAAACATGCCATGTGCATTAATTATTGTGCATTGTAGTTGTGACTAGAATGTGAAGGTCCCAAACAAAGCAGAAGGGTCAGTAGTTGGGACACATGGCAGGAGTGAAGGTGATGACATGAAGGAGCTGAAGAGAACATTTCAAAGGACAGCTCAAGCAGACACAAGTGGAATATTACAAGGAAATGTGCCCATGTATCTTGACTTGTACAAAGACCCAGAATTAGAAAATGAAAAGGGAAGAGCGTGGTTGGCATTTGCGAGCATGAAGAACTCGAGGAAAACTCAGCACTCAAATTGAAATATTGAAGGATCATCTGGGCAAAAAGAAAGAAAGACACCACAGAGGAAGCATCCAAAGCAGATGGAAGGAGCACACCAAGTCACCGTGCCGAGAGTGGGGTGGCTTCCAGGTTCTGGGAGGGAGACGTCCCCAAGAACTGGGTCCTGGAAGAAGAAATCTGAATGGCATTGAAGGCGTTAGCAAAACCAGACCCCAGGAACTAACAGAATTCTAGCTGAAATGTCACAGCGTGACACACTGATATTGTTAGCATTACTGGTTAGGGTATACATTTGAATAATTGCCGGATTGAACGGTCTTCCCGTTAGGGTACTATGGTATCCCTGGCAGTGTCGCACTTCAGGGCAGCTGTTTCAGTGCTCTTTTTAGACAAAGAATCGGTTATTCCTGGCATAGCAGACCACATGATTGGCTAATTCAAAATGGCCATTACCTGCTCATTTCAGCGCACTAATGCCTATGATGCCGATCTTACTTCATTCCCATTCATTTTTGGCAACTTCTAATTTTCCTTGATTCATACACCATTAGCAAACAGGTGTACCATATATACTCGAGTATAAGCCGAGTTTTTCAGCACATTTCTTATGCAGTTTTTGTGGTAAAATTAGGTACCTCTGCTGATATTCAGACTGGCTTATACTCGAGTATATACGGTAATGCTGGAAGCACTCAGTCTTCTATGGCAAAAAATTTGGAAGGCAGCTAGCTGCCTGGCCAACTTACCAGAAAAGATCCATGTGTGTGCCCGTTCCAAAGCCAGGTGATCCAAAGAACATAGAAATTATAGAAAATATTAAAAGCACATGCAAGTAAATTTTTGCTTGAGATAATTTTTAACTGATTGCAGCAGTACATCAACAGGGAACTGCTAGAAATTCAAGCTGGATTCAGAAGTGGACGTGGAACCAGGGATGTCATTGCTGATGTCAAATGGGTCTTAGCTAAAAGTAAAGAAAAGCAAACGTGTGTTTGCCAGTGTTTGCTTGGCGCTGCAAAGGCATTCAACTCTCTGGGTCATAACAAACTATGGGTAACACTCTGAAAAATGCTCATGCAGAGCCTGTACAGCAGCGCTTCCCAGCCTTCCCAATGCCGCGGCCCCTCATGTGGTAGACCCCCAACCATAACATTATTCTCGTTGCTACTTCATGACTGTCATTTTACTACTGTTAGGAATCGGCGACTCCTGTGAAAGGGTCCTTCGCCCCCAAAGGGGTCACAACCCACAGGTTGAGAACCGCTGCTGTACATCGAACAAAAGGCAGTCTTTTCAACAGGGGAATACTACATGGTTTAAGATGAGGAAAGAAAGGTGTGTGTCAGAGCCGTATCCTTTCACCAGACTATTCTAACTGTATGCAGAGAAAATAACCCAAGACGCTGAGATCTATGACGAAGCTGATGTCAGGACTGGAGCACGACTCCTTGTCCGTGTGCAGTAATGCAACGTAACAACCTGAAGTGTGACACCATGCGGGGGCGCCCCCTGGAGAGTTTGAAAGCAAACCCACGGAGCACTGACTGACGAAGATCAAAGCCTTACTATGTGACCAACCTCAACATAAAGAAAACAAATCTTCCCAACTCGACCAATAAGTAGCACCGTGATCATCAGAGAAGATACTGAAGTTGTCAAGAATTTCATTTTACAACGGACGCCCATGGAAGCAGCAGTTGAAAAAGTTAAACCGCTTATTACATTGTGCGCGTCTGCCGCAAAAGACCTCTTTAAAGTGTTAAAAAGGAAAGGGGTCGCTTTCAGGATTAAGGTGTGCCTGACCCAGGCTGTGAGACACACTGGTGTGAGCCAGGTGAAGCTTGGGGTGATCACTGTAAATCTACATGCAAACCCACCCTGGGGTGAAAGAGGAGACGGACTGCTCCCGGGAGGATGTACAGCCTTGGAAACCCTGCACAGGGTCACTCTGTGCCAGAAAGTTTGAAATGTTGAAGATCCATGGACTGCTGATTGGCAAACCTGGTCTATATTGGAACACGTGTGGCCAGAGTGCCCCCGCGAGGCAAGGATGGCAAGGCTTCGTCTCACATACTGTGGCCAGGTCAGAAGAGACCAGGCCCTGGAGAAGGGCACCATGCTTGGTAAAGTGGAGGGGCAGCGGACAAGAGGAAGGCTCTCAACAAGGTGGACGGCTGCGGCCGTGGGCTCGGGCACAGGAACCATTGGGAGGATGGCCCCATGCTGCTTTCTGTTGTTTGTAGCTCCGTCTCTGTAGGAGCAGGCTCGGCACTGAGTCGGAATTGATTTAGTGGCAGGGGGTGTGCTGTTTTGGTTTGGACCCAAGCCTTGGTATTTTCAATTCTTTTGTATTCATACAAAAGCTGGGCAATAAAGAAGACCAAGACGAATTGATGCTTTTGAATCATGGCACCGGTAAAGAACACTGAACACACCGTGGACTGCTAACAAATAAACAGAATGCCCAAATCTGCCTTGGATAGTCGGAAATGGTCCTTGGAAGCAAGGATGGCGGGATTTCAGGTCATGTGCTTTGGGCATGTCCTCAGGAGGGTCCGGTGTCCGGAGAAGGGTCGGGAGGCGGATTGACACAGTGTGCTCATCGGGCGGGCTTTCAGTGTTACATGTCTTTATAGGTCATTGTCAGAACAAACTTGATGCCACCTCTCAACAGCAGAGCAGTGTGTCCCAGCTGAGCCCCCTCAGGCAGCTGCCGCCTCCACTGGGTGTTAGATTAGGGTGTCAAGAGGCAGGTGTCTCTTGTTTTGTTTTTTTGTCTCTGGCGGCTTTGTGTTTTTTCCCTTACTTTGTGAAGACAGCCCACTCCTGTCCTGCTTTTTACTCTGCCTTGCTTCCATTATCCCAACGTCCTCTCCCTCCTTCACAAAACAAAAAGCATTGTTTGGGGCATTAATGCTTTACATGATAAGCCGCTCCGGGCGGCTTGTGCTCCTTTGTGCTCTCTAGGATGTAGCTCCTTCAGCAGTGTTGATAATCCCCTGCCCTGGGATTTCCAGGTGTTGCAGAATGCCTATCTTCGGGACCAGGCATAGCATCCCGTTCGTAGTGGGTGATAGCAGATGGCAGAGATTCTGAGGTGGTATTTCTTAACAATGTGGCTTCTGCTGCCCCTTCGGGTTAGCTGTGTCTAACAAGTACTGGCCTGAGATACTAACGCCTCAGCACATACCACATAAGAAGGTCCTTAATAAATACAGGCTGAGTGGAATGCTCATCTCTGCCCCTTCAGTCCTCCTGTCAATTTTGTGGCACCGCTAAGATGACGTGAGAACCACTAATGCCCTGTTCTTTATCCAGCTGCAGCGGCGCAGCTGAAAAATGGCAAGCAGGTG